CTTCGTGCTCCCCGGGGGGCGGCGGGGGAGGCCAGAGGCAGCCTCAGGCGGGGCCCGGAGCCATAAATTAACGCCATGAACCTGTTTGCCAAAGAAGGGACGTGGGCGACGTGCGCGGGAGGGTCTGGATAGTTACGGGTGAGATTTGCAGTGTCACAGGAGCGGTCCCCGCCGTGTGACAAGGGACACGTCAGGGATGTGGGGACACATATGGAACGTGGGGACACGCCGGTGCCCACTCACAATGGGGAGGCTGCTTGTCCCACCCAGCGCTCGTACCACCACCCACCCTGAGGAGCCCCCACAGCACCCATCAGCCTTCACGCGCTGCACTTTCATCCGACACCGCAGAGATAAATGTGTATTTTCCTTACCCTGCAGAGAGGGGTTTTCCAGGCTCCCCTCCCTGTCGTGCTGCCTCCTCTCTGCCATCACCGTCACAGTTTTCTGCGTCGTCTGTGAATCCGCTCGTGGGTTGTGACCGGGTGTGCGCGTGTGTCTCGTGACGTTCTGTAGCAGCTTGCAATGAGCCTTATTTCTTGTCGCACGTTACCTTAGTAAACCATTACTGACCTGTCCTGGCTCTCGATCCGCTTGGTGGGCCGGTGCTGGGGGCTTCCAGGAGTGAGCCTGGACCAGCACGACGGGACCAGCCCTGGGGCTCCAACCCGGCCAACCTGTTGCGTGAGCCCCAACGCTCATCCTCACCTTGCCCAATTCACCCGGCTGAAACCACCAGGACTATCTACCCCAAAACCCTCCCGGGTTTAGTAACTCCGACACACGACCGAGGATGCCCGAGATGCCGCTGCCCTGGCCCTGCCCGCTAGCGCCGGCACCTGGGTTTGTCCCGAAACAAAGAGAAGAAAAACTAATTTCGAAACACCCGCAGCTCTCCCTGACGAGGAGCAGCCCCGGGGCTGCGCAGGGAAAACTGCCCCCGTGCCTGATTTCTGTATAACTCGCGTACGTTAAAGGTCATTTCTTGGGTTGGAGCGGCTGGAAAAGATCCAAACGAATTATTTGCATTCTTCGAGCTGTGAGATTTGAGATTAGAAACCTGACAAGGATGGGGAAGCAGCCAGAGGTTCCTTGCCCACCACCCACCTGCCAGGGCTTCCAGGGAAGGGGCTTGGGCAGCTGCTTCACGGCACGCTGAGGTTTGGGGTGGATTCTCCTGTGCCCGCTCCTCCTGAGGTTGTTTTGGGGCCAGGTTTAAGTTCCGTGGGTGCACGGTGGACACGGTGACCCACAAAAAGAACCCCACCCTCCTGCTCCATCCACCTCTGGCCAGTGAGCCCCGGGGCAGGGGCCGTGCCTGCCAGCAACCTCATAGCAAACGAGTTTCTGTAATTTTTACAGCAAATCATTCCAAAATAGAACGTAGAAACAACCTGCGGGCGTTGGCCGAGCCTCAGTCGCTGCAGGACCGGTTGCCTGGTGGGGGGACGGGGATGGGACAGCATTGGGCTCCTCCAGGTTTCCATCAGAAATTCTTTGCTTCCTTTCTTTTTTGGGTCTTATTCTTCACGGCACGTGCTGGATGGCATTTCTGAACAGGATCAGAAATCGCAGGGAGAAAGCTGTAAAAATAAAAGGAATGGGATTGTCCACAGGCCAGGCAAAAAGGTGCTGAGCCCATCCTTGAGGACTTGTCTGTTGGGAACCCTGGCTGCCCTATAAAATACATCCCTAAATAGCTCAAAGGTTTTTCACTAACTGGGGAAGACCTTTGTCTCCACCCGGAGCAGAGAAAAACCAGAGGATTTAACTCATTTGCCCTGAAGTTCAAAGCAAAAAAAAAAAAACACAACAAAACAAACCACGAGACACCAAACCAAAAACCAACCAAAACCACAAAAAACCAAAACCGGGAGAGGAAAGCACCTTTACAAAACACTGTTGAGAAACTGCCCCGTCACACCCCGTTTTCAGAGCAACATCCCCACCCCGCAGCAGATAAGTGCCGAGCCCTCCCCGGCGCTGCCCAGCCCCACCGTGGCAGGTGCGTGAGCTCCTTCCCGGCCGCTCGGCACCAAATCCTCCTCGGACCGAGCCAAATCCCCCCCTCCCCGGACGGAGAGCATTTCGGCAAGGTGAGATTTCAGGGACAAAATGAGACCTGGCAGATGAAACGATTCGCGCCTGGTTCGAAGGGCGATAAGCGGATTGCTCCAAGCAGCTCAGCGATGGAGTTGCTGGAGCAGGGATTTATTTTCGGTCGGGGGTTTCTAGCTGAGGGGTGTGGAGTTGGGTACACGGAGAGCCCAGTCGAGGGCTCCGCTGGGTTACACTGGATTTCTCCCAGTTTGTGCTGGTGTGGTCTCGAGGGAGATGGAGGAGGAGACCCCATCCTTGCAGGGCAGAGATGGGAGCAGGGCTCTGGGTGTCAGAGAGGAGTTTGTATTTTGTTTAATTGTGGAATTTCTTTTACTAATGGATGGAGACTGAAGTTCTGTTTTCTGTTGTATAGGATTTAAAACCTCTCCCTCAGTTGTGGGGGTTTTCTGC